GGCGAGGCAGGCAGATCAGATCGGATCAGACCGGGCCCCACGATGCAGAGCAGCCAGGGCCAAATGGCCTCCCCTCTGACCCCCTGTCTCCTCCTGTAAAGGGGATGCGAGATTCCAGGCTCGCACTCGCTGGGCTGCTCAGAGTATTTAAGGAGAGGCGGCATCCAGTGCTCAGCTCGCTGTCTGACATGTAATAGTAACGATAACACACAGTTGCCACTTTAGTTCAAAGTGGGCGCCACCACCTTCCAGCCGGCTCCTGTCGGGCACTGAGGGATGGGTCCCCCGGTAGCATCCTCGCCTTACGTGTGGCATGAGGCTCTGGGCAGGGCGGTGGCAGAACCCTGGGCATCCAGAATCTGCCAGGAGCACCAGCTGCTGCCCAGCTCTCGCTGTCCCCCGCTAACCCCCCCCCGCCCCCATCCCTGACTCATCATAATGGACAACGCTGGGCCAATTAGGAGCAGTCACAATTAAGATGTGCCGAGGGCATGTGAACATTTGCAAACACTTGTTACAATGCATCAATAATTAAGTGCCTCTTTAATAGCTACATGCCTGGCCTCCGGACATATCTGTTTATAAACCTTGGGTCCCAGCATGCTTTGCGGTCTGGGCTACGGCCTCACCCTCTGGGAATGAAAATTGAAAATTCCTCCCCGACTTGAACTCTGAGGTTTGACGGGGACACGGTCGCCAGCGCCCCCGGGCTTCTCCCAGCTGCCTGGTGCCAGAGGCGTGGTCCTCCCAGCAGCCAGCCGACGGCACGCACCCAGCCTCAGCCCGGTGTCCCCTCCCTGTCCTGGCCTGTGATCCCTGCCCGAGGGGACCACGCGTGCGAAACGCCTGCTGCATGGAAGGTCCGTCACGGCTGCTTCCGTCAGGGGCGCCTCGACACCATCAGAGGACGGACAGAGGCAGCAGTCGCTGAGGGATGGCGGTGACCAGGAGCACCAGCGGCTGCAGGCTCGGTGCCCGGCGGCCCAGGCGATGATGGAAGTGAGAGGGCAGCTGGGTGGGGCTGGGCAGCAGTGCCCACCCAGGTGCCGGGGCTTCTGACTTCTTAAGAGAACCAGGAAGTCCAGGTGTCGGTAGGAAATCTCCTGGCTTCTAAAATGTGGCGACTCGTTTCATTTTTTAAAAAAGCGACTGCCCGGGGCCAAACAGGCATCTGTGTGGTTGGCCTGCCGACCCGGGCCCCCTTTTCCAGATACGAGCCGGGTCCCCACTTCCTTTCAGCCCAGAGGCTGGTGGGTTCAGTGCACCTGTCCCCGTGAGCGGCCCTCTGTGACCCGCAGGTGTGGCCTGGGAGCCAGATCGGCTCGCTGCAAAGGCTGGGGTCCCATCGGTGCTGGGAGGCGGAGGGGCAGGTGAGGCGTGTGTGGCCCCTCCCATCCGTTTATGTTGTCCATCGAGGACGATATGAAGGGCAGGAGGATTGGCCATCGGGGGCGGGGGAAGAAGCCTGGTCAGCATCTGACCCTGCACGCCCCGCCCCCCGCTCCCGGCAGCCCTGGCTTCCGGCGAGCTGGGCCTGTGTGGAGTGTAAGGTGGGGCTTACTGTTATTTTCTCACATCTCTGTAGTTGTGAGTGGACGGCACTCATTTGTTTCTTTACGTGTTCATTGGACCAAGTCTCCCCAACAACTCCTCGGGTAGGCGAGTGTGATCGGGTTTGGCTTTAAACGCTTTTAAAATAAAGAAACGTGGCCGAAACCGGTCTGGCTCAGTGGATAGGGCGTCGGCCTGCGGACTGAGGGGTCCCGGGTTCGATTCCGGTCAGGGGCATGTACCTGGGCTGCGGGCACATCCCCAGTGGGAGATGTGCAGGAGGCGGCTGATGGATGTTTCTAACTCTCTATCTCTCTCCTTTCCTCTCTGTAAAAAATCAATAAAATAATTTAAAAAAATAAAAATTAAAATAAAATAAAGAAACACAATCGCGGCTTATAAAAGGTGATCCTTGGAGAACGGGCCTCGGCCCCATAACTTTAAAGTAATAGCCCCGTTACGGGGGTGGGGGTGGGGTGGGATTTTTTAACTGCGCCCTGCGTCTGCTGTACGGCTGAGGGGCGTGCGGGCAGGTTGGGCATCTCAGTAAAAGCTTTCCCGACAGCCATTTAACCCCCATTTACGGAAAAATAAAGTGAAATTGATGCTGATTCGGGCCTGCTTTGGGGGCTATTTTTGTTCCATAAAAGCCCTTTTGCTTGCAATTTGCTGAGCGGCCCTGTCACTTCCGAAAGGGCCGCCGTTGATAAAGATAAAGCTTTATGGCCGCGATATTTGCTGCTAACAGCAACCTAATGCAGCATTTTCATTTTTGTGCAATTAATGTTAACGTCTGCTACGAAAATTGTCATTAAATACCATTTTAAAATCCATTCAATTTGCATATGCAAAGCCCATTTACCATCGAGGGAGATCTGGCCGGCACTCCATCACGTCCTTCGCTGGGATTGTGGCCGCTGGGGTTTGCAGCGATTTAAGGCTTTTATGTTGAGAGCGGACAGTAATGGATGTCCTTTCTGAGCCCAGAAACCGTAAGCTCTGCCGGCGCACGTAGGAAAACGGAGCCCCAGGCCCCGAAGCTGGGTGTTGACTCTTCACCTCAGTCCCAAGGGGGTGGGAGAGCGAGCACTGAACAGGGAGTCCGCCCGCCTGGCTCCAGAGTGGCTCCTGTCTGGCCTGTGACCTTGGGCAAGTCTCTTCACCTCTCGGAGCTGCTGTTTTCCTGTTTTCAATAAGGGCTCTGAGCCAGGTGACCGCTAATGTCTGCACACTTTAATATGGGATATTTTAAAATATAAACACTCCAGGTAGAGAACCCAGGCCGAGCCCTGCTGTGAGGAAGTTGTGTGAACTTGAGAAGGTCCAGCAACCCCTCCCCGCCTCGGCCCTGCCGCCTCCTGCACAGGGTTCCAGTGGCGATGAAATGAAACGGACCGAGAGTCCCTGGACGCCCAGTTACCACGGTAACGTCCTCTTTCCCGATGAGGACACGGGATCCAGGAAGGAAGGAGAGTCGGGGACAACGCTGGGACCGGAGCCCAGGCGGACCCGGCGGGGGCAGCCCCCGGACGCCAGGCTGTCTGAGAGGCCGGTGACCAGCGCGGACAGTCTAGGGGTCGGTGCCCAGAGGGGACTGTGTGTGCGGCAAAGGGCAAGGAGGGCACGCGTGCTGCGGCCGCAGGAGGACGGGCGGGGGCCGGGAGACGCCCCGTGTTGGCGGGCCTGGCGGGGGCCTCATTGTAAAAGTGGGGGAAGGACGGTGTGCAGACGGCGGTGGCCTCCCCTCTTCTCCGGGTCAGATTCCGGGTTCTGGGGGCCGGTGACTGGACAGGCATTTCCGGTGCGAGCGGCGAGGCCGCGGCCGGCAGGAGGCTGGGGACGCGCTGAGCGGGACTGTGGCGGACACGCCGGCTTCAGCGCGGACGGCGGCGAGAGGAGGCCGGTGGCATGCGCTGCGGAAACTAAACAGAATTCCCACGGGAGCCGGCGACGGCCCTGCTGGGGATGTGCCCAGAGGGGCTGACAGGGGTCTGCACACCACGGTCACTGGGCACTGCCCACAGGCAAGGGTGGGCGCGGCCCCCGTCCGTCAGGGTAAACGGATAAACTAAAGGAGGTCCCTACACACAATGGAGCGTCATTCGGCTTTGGAAAGAAGGGGATCCCGACACCTGCTAAACATGGAGGAACCGAGAGGCCGCTGTGGTCGGTGAAAAGGCCGGACGCGCAGGACAGATACCGCGCGGTCCCACTGGGCGCGGCAGCCGCCCTGTCGCCTGCACAGCGGCAGGAGGCAGAGCGCTGGCTGGGGCCGAGGGGACGGAGGGACAGCGGTGAGTTTAGTGGGTTTCAGATTTGCACGACGAGGAGTTCTGTGGACGATGGGGGTGGTGGTTGCACAACAGTGTGAATGTACTTTAACGCCACGGAATTGTGCTCTTAAAAATGGTAAGTCTTAAGTCTATTTTACCACAGTAAAAAACGATTCGAAAACAAATAAACAAACAAAAGTAGATTGTCAACGCCCTTGATTGTGGGCAAAGCAGGGCCCGGCCACGCAGGTGGGCCAGGTACTGGCTTTTCAGTCACAGGTGTGTGTGTGTCTGGGGGGTAAGGGGCGGCTGGGGGGGTGCGTGCCCTGGCCAGGTGCTGCGGCTGAGGCTGCTCCCCTTTATTTGTGCGGCTTTCAGTGGCTTTGTGCTGGCGATGGGCTGTGCTGTGTGGGGCAGGCAGCCTGCTGCAGGGGCACCTGCTGGTGGTGCCCGCTGCCTGGCTCTGCTCTCCCCCTTCTGGGGACAGAACCCCCACTTCTCCATCTTTCCCACCGTGAGCCCCTGTGGATGGTGGGGACTGATTCCAACCAAGCCCCCTCCAGGGAGGGGCAAGGGATCGGGCCTGGCCAATCCGAGCGTCAGAATCTGCTGGCCTCAGTGATTGGCTCAGAGGCGGACATGTGACCCAGGACTGGCCAGTCCGTGTATTTCACAAACCTCACAAATCTCCTTCAGGGATCAACAGGGTCCCAAGTTGAACCAAAGAATCTTAATCTCCAGACTTTTGTAATCCCCACCCCCTTCCCCCGGGGGCCACTAGGAGACTAGGATGGGACTGATCCTGGCTCTTCTGCCACAGGAGGAAGACGCTGTAAGAGAATGGAGCCCAAACCGGGAAGAAGTCAAGGCTCGGAGAGACACAACAAATACTGTCACCTGGGCACCTAGATCCAGCTGTGCCTGAAGCCCTACCTCTACCATGTGAGCCAATGAATTTCCCTTTAAAAACATATCAGGGCAGCTTGATTGAGATTGGTGACATACAACGCCATTCTGCTCTACAGAACCTCGTGCTGCCGGGGCTGGGACCTGGGCCCCCGGCGGGCCTCTGACCCACCCTTGCCACTCGCTTGCCCCTCCCTGGAGCCAAGAGTCAAGTGCCCACCTAAGTCCCTAATTTAGTCACTGAGGGAGGGAGCCCGCGGCCAGCCTTACCGGGACTGGACCCCAAAGGTCATGTTTGGAGGGATGATGGTGGGCTCCTTCCTGTAGCGCCGGTTGTCCTTGCTGCTGACGCGGAAGTCGTTGAGCTGCTTGTACAGGAGCGTCTCCCGGGCGGTCACCAGGCCCGCCTTCACCGCCCCTCGATTCGTGGCAATGTAATCCCGGTTCAGCTCCTGGTGGCGGGTGGGCTGCGGCTTAAACACGTTCCAGTGTCCGATGGCTGAGGGCAGGGAGAGACCGGTCCCGGCCGGAGGTCAGCGGGGAGGCACAGCCACTCAGTCCTGTGCCTGCTGGTCCCGGAGCCTGCTGCCACCAGCCTGCTGCTCCCGGGGGAGGGGGGGCTGGGAGAGTGGGGATTCCCAAGATCCCGGCGGGCGGTGAGCACCCTGCCTGCAGCTGGGTGGCCAGGCCTGGGTGTCCTTTGGGTAATCAGGATCAGTCCTGAACCTACCCAAGCTCACAGCTTAAACCCAGGCTGACTCCTTCCTATTTCCCTGCTTGGTCCTTCGCCGCCCCCTCCCCCGCCCCACGCCCAGACCGTGGGATCCCCCAGATCGAGGCTGCAAGCCCATTTCCCAGCTCATTTCCCAGCAGTGGCCCAGGGCGAGCGCTCCGGCTCCAAACATGCTCTCTCACCTTCGGGGACCCCTCTGTCCAGCCCCCTATGTGCTCTCTCACCTTCAGGGACCCCTCTGTCCAGCCCCCTATGTGCTCTCTCACCTTCGGGGACCCCGCTGTCCAGCCCCTATGTGCTCGCTCACCTTCGGGGACCCCGCTGTCCAGCCCCTATGTGCTCGCTCACCTTCGGGGACCCCGCCGTCCAGCCCGCGGACGTAGAGCCCGTAGTTGAAGTCGATGCCGGGGAGGCTGCAGCTCTGCTCCCGGGGCTTCCCGAGCTCAGCCTGCGGGGGCACAGAGAGCGGAGGTGAGGCCGGTCTCGGACCCGCTGCTCTAACATGTTCCGCAGGAGTCCCCGACGCCCGCGGGCCCCGCTCCCGTGGGCAGCCTCAGGGCCCTGGGGGCGCGGGCGCAGTCCCTGCCGTGAGCGGTGAGCGGCTGCACTCGGGGTCCTGCAGCTGAGATGGGGCCCTTTTCACAGAGACTCCCCAGGAGCCCCGTCGGGGACGGGCATCTTTCCTCCCTGACGCTTCCTTCCTCCCAGTGCCACGCCCCTGTCACCCTTGGGCACTGGACTGGGCAACTACCCTCCCTCCCTGGGTCTCTAGAGACCTCCTCCCCGAGCCCCGAAGGGGTTTGTGGGAAAGACGTTACCCGTTACCGGTGCATTCTCAGCCACATTGACCTCAGGCACCGTGTCCGGCCCGGGCCACTGGCCACACTGCCCCCCGCGGCGCCCCGAGGCCAGGGCCCTGTCCTGCACGCTCAGAGCGCCATCCTCGCCCTCAGCACCATCGTCCCTGCCGGGTCCCCTGGTCCAGAGGCAGTTTAGTACAGCAGTTCAATGTCCTCGGTGTCTCAGGCTCCTCTCCTCCCTCGCGCTCTCTCCTTCCAGCTCATCTCGGTCCCACCTCCCTGGCTCCCGGGGACCTGAGTGCGTAGGGAGGTGGTCGGGACCCCTGTGTGGCTCGTCACTCTGGAATTAACGCCTCCCTGGAGCTGGCAGTCCGGGCCCTGCACCCTCCAACCCACCCATCCCTGCAGCTTCACCTCCCAGACCCCCCCCCAGACGCCCCGCAGTTTAGGGGGGCTAGCTCACTCCCCTCCCCGAGGCTCTGCAGGTGCCCAGCCTCCCGGAATGCCCTTTGCTCCTGGCCCACCCTCTACTGTCCTCCTCCTTCAGCTCTCTGCACCCCTGGCACTCACAGCAGCCGCTCCCTCCCTGGGCCCCGGTAACTTTCGCTGTCTGTTCTGCTTGTTTGGGGCTCAGAACTGAACTGACCTGCGTTTCTATGCACAATTCTGCGAACAGGCTGAAAGCCTTTGGGTTGTAGCTTTAAATGGGCGAGTTGTGTGGTGTGTGGATCATATCACAGTAAAGCCATTAACAATCACAAGGTAGTGTAAGCAAGTCACGGATTGTGTGGTAATCAGTTTAATGTCTGTCTCCCCTGGTAGACTGTGAGCTCAGTCTTCATTGACTTACTAGAGGCCTGGTCCACGAATTTGTGCACCAGTGGGGTCCCTCTGCCTGGCCTGCGGGATCAGGCCGAAACCGGCTCTCTGACATCCCCCGAGGGGTCCTGGATTGCGAGAGGGCGCAGGCCTGGCTGAGGGACCCCACCAGTGCACGATCAGGATCAGGGAGGTTGGCCAGCTGGGGAGGGGCTGAAAGAGGGCTCCAAGGTGTGTCCAGCCCGTCTCGCTCAGTCCCTGATCAGCGGACTCCAGCAGCAAGCTAACCTACTGGTGGGAGCATCTGCCCCCTGGTGGTCAGTGCATGTCATAGCGAGCAGTTGAGCATATTACACATGAATTGGTTGAACGGCTGACCGGACGACTGGACACAGCATATTAGGCTTTGATTCTATAGGATTTTAAAGTTAAATAAAAACAATTTTTTAAAAATAGACAGTAATTTTTAGAGAAGTTGTAGGTTCACAGCAACATTGAGCAGAAGGGACAGAGGCTCCCAGCTGCCCCCGTCGGTCTTTATTTTCACCTTCCTTTCCAGGGCCCAGCACAGTGGATGCGAGGACATAGGAGGGGGAGTGAATGAATGAATGAATGAGTGAGTGAAAGGCCTGCTTGGAAGCTGTCGGTTCTGTTTCATACAGAACCTGCTACGTTTCTCCCTCTTCCTTCCCCCTCAAACCCCGGCCCTGACCTTCCTGGAGCGCCCCGGGGTCCGGCGTTCCAGGCGGTGCCGGGTGCCGGGTGCCGGGTGCCGGGTGCTCGGGCCTCTGCGAGCTGGTTTGTTTGAATTCCTCCCACGTGACTCCCTCTGAGCTGCAGACGAAGCTCTGGCTTCTCATTTGTTTATGAAAATGATCTGGCCTCTCTGATGACTGCCGGGAAGTTAATTAAAATGTGACTTCTCTGGGCGAGGCCCCCTCTGGGCAGGTGCAGGTGGGCAGGCGTCCAGCTGGCAGAGGATCCACAGGCAGACTCGGGAGCTGGCTGCCACTCCGGGCGGGCAGAGGGGTGGGGAAGAGGCGGGCGCCTCACTCTCCACGCTCTTTTTCTGGAACCAACAGCTGCCGGCGTGCATTGGAGCCTCAGGCTGCAAAGATCACCCCCTGGGAGGCCCACTCATCTTTTACTCCACAAACATTTGTTTTCTGCCTACTCCGGGCCAAGCCCTGTGCCAGAGTTTGAAGGTAAACAAAGAAGAGGCATAGCCCCTGCCCTCATGAAATTCATCTTCTTGCAAAGAGGACATCGGAACAGATTGCCTCCAGCTCTAAAAACTTGTAGGCCCTAGAGTGAGACAAGATACTTGCAATACATGGACCTGACGAAAGACTCGTATCCATCATATATAAAGAGCTGCTACAAATCAATAAGAAAAAGGCAGCAGATCCTGTAGAAAAATGAGCAAAAGAGTTGAATAGGCATATCATTAACAGGACGTCCAAGCCGCCAAGACCCACGGGTTAAGGTGCTCAGCCTCGGTGCTGTCGCTGGGGGTGTGAAGCGACTGGAGCGCTCACCCCCTCGGTGGTGTGTGAACTGGTGCGGCCACCGTGGGAAACTGTTGAGCCGCGTCTGCTAAAGCTGAACGTATGTCAGCCTGATAACACCCTCCTGGCCCCCAACAGCAACGAGCGCCCCGTCCACCCAAAGCTCTGGCTGCAAATGCGCACACACCACGCTATGTGATAGCCACGTCCCGGAAGCAACCCTAAACACCAGCCCGGGCAAGGAAACCATACTTATTCCATAGAGCGCCCTACAGCAGTGGTTCCCAGCTGGGGGTGATTTTGCCCCCTGCCCCCCAGGACATGCAGTCCTTTCCGGAGACATTTGGGGTTGGGAGGGACTACTCCCCTCCATCTGGGGTGGGGCCAGGGCAGCTGCTAAACACCTCAGGGCGCAGGAGACAGCCCCACCCAGTGAGCTCTCTGGCCCTAATGCCCAGAGGGCCGCGGCCAAACAACACAGGCCACCAAGGAGAGAGAGGGCACAGCTATACCCAGCCCACGGGGCCCTCACACCCACGCGCAGCACGGCTCTCTGGTGAGGAGTCCGGAGCCCGGGTCCTCTTGGGGCGGGGACAGTGGCTGAAGCTGCTCCAGGAGGCTCAGGGGCGCAGTCCTGTGGCTTCCCGACCCCAGGTGGGTGCCCTTCACACCCGTTCACTGGGATTGGCAGTCATACATCTGAAGGGCAATGGCCAAGCGGGAGACCCACCTTCAGACAAGGGCTGCCCACACACAGTGACAGAAACCACAGCGGCAAACAAGTCAACTCGGCTCCCAGAGGTCTCCGGGCTGCGTCCTGAGCCTGGGAGGGAGGGGCCCGCCTGGAAGTCCCTGAGAATGGAAGGGTTTCACTCCTCCCCTCTGACCTTTCCAGATGGGGTGTCGCCGGGGAGACAAGAGATGCCCCAAGAAGTTGGCGAGAAGCAGGCTCTGCCCCTGGCGAGGTCTGCTCCTCGGTGAGTGGGCGGGGGGTTAAGGAGATGGCTGTCGCTTCAGGAAACATCGTGGGGTTCGACTCGGCTCAGACACCACAGCTCAGTGCTCCCCCCACAGCAGCCCCTCACGACAGCTCTCGGGGGGAGCACGCTGTCCCCCAGGACGGATGGGGACGTCGAGGCTCAGAGAGGTCGCAGACCAATGCACCTCAACTCCTGCTTCTCCTGCTTGTGGCTGAGTGTAAGGCGCCTCCGGCAAACCCTCCAGGTCTTCCGAGAGGCACGCCTCGCACCGAGGGGCCCTGAGATATGGAAGCGACGCAGACGGGGGCCCCGGCCCGGCCCTTGTCACGGGGGTGTGAGCCTCAAGAGCCGAATGTGGAGAGAAGTCCCGGCGTTGGGCCCGACCACCCGCCCTCCTCTGCAGCTCCCACCCTGGGCCTGCCTCCGAGCTTCCCGTCACCGGCTTGGCTGGGATGCGGCTCTGGGTGACAGCTGTCCCCATCAGCAGACAGCTTCATTAAGCCTCATTAAGATGTCATCCCTCCGCCTGCGTTCCCAGCTCTCAGCTCTAATTAAAACCATCTCTGCCCGCGTCCCCAGGGGCCGGGGATTCTCTGGGCTCCTTCTGCACGGAAGCGGCCTCCAAGCCCCCGAGGGAAGGCCAGGCCCCGACACCCAAGTGGGAGCCAGGCCCCGGCCCGGAAGTCCCGTCGGAGCAGCTGGTGGCCAGCGTGGAGACCATGGGGGCTGCCTCGTCCGCAGTCACCGCGGCTCCGGAAGGCGGGCCCCTGGCCCTGGAGCCTCGCCACGACCCATTTTCCTGGGACAACTTCAAAGCAAGCGACCAGGCCTTGCGACTCAAGTCTAATTCTCTTCCACTCTCTATACTGTAAAAAACTGTCAACCAGTCCCCGTGAGCCACCGAAGAGGCAGGAATGGGCGGCACCGGGTGGCTTTGTTCCTGATGCCTGGGCTGGGGCCCCGCTGGACAGACAGGCCGGGGCCCCTCCGAAGCCGGGCTTTCTGTCGGGGGCTCCAGGCCTGTGTTCTGGACCCGCCTCCAGGCAGGAACCTCACTTCCTGGCAGCTCATTACCCCCCAGCCCAGCGTCTACAGCAGCGGTTCTCAACCTGGGCTGCACATTAGAAGCACCTGGGCATCTTTTTAAAATCCTGATGTCTGGGCCTCATCCTCCGGAAATTCTGTGTCTTTGTTATGGGGTGGGGCCACAACATTAGTAACAAAGAAACAGAATTTCCGGAGGATGAGGCCCAGAAATCAGGATTTTAAAAAGATGCCCAGGTGATTCTAATGTGCAACCAAGGTTGAGAACCGCTGGTCTAAAGGAAACAAGTGCTTGTT